AGGTACTAGCATCTGTTCTCAATATTATCACAACTAAAGAGACACTCAAACAGCGTAGGCCACATAATGCACTATTCTAAAAGGAAGTTAAATCCAAAGCAATGCCTTTTGTAGAGGATGACATCAGATGCAATTGTTAATATTTTGCTCACCCCATTCAGGAATACTTTGTGACATTTGTGGGAGGTAGATTTGAGACCTAAACAGGTAAACTGTGTCCTTTTACCACATGGGACCAAATTCTGCTCTCAGTGACATGGGTATAAATCTAGAGACAGACTATTAATTTCAGAGGCGTTATTGTAGAATTATTCAAATGTAATTCAGATCATAATCTGGCCTATAAAGTGCATTGGGGAGAGAGGATTATTACTGCAGTGGCTACTAGACTTTTGTCTTTGGAGACCTGGGTTTAAATCCTGGTTTAAGTCACGAGCAAAACTGAGCTTTGTTGATTTTACCCAAATGTCTCCTCTGAGGGGACTTTCTAGCCCTCCAAGCCTGCGTATGCCAATATATTTGTTGGCCTAATGAAAAGTATCACAATACCTACCTTTAGGGTTGCCAACCCTCCAGGATTGTCCTGGAGTCTCCAGGAATTAAAGATTAACTTTTAATTAAAGATGATGTCATGTGATGAAACCTCTAGGAATTCAGCCAACCAAAGTCGGCAGCCCTACCTACCTTATCCATAGTTTTATTAGCACAATACTGTCTTTAGCCACAGGGTGAGATTTGGCCTAGTGCTGAAGGCGCTCTGCACCACCTAGTTCAGAATTCTAATGGTGCTCACAGCTTTGTGTGCGGCCTTCAGCATTGGGGTGAACTTCATCCTGAGTGGTTAAGTATGTGTAGTCCCTTTAAGGGGGGGCAGAAAGAGCTTAAAGGGGCGCCTGATGTCTCCCCCTTGCTCTGTGTAAAGTAAATCCCATAGAATCACCACAGCAGCCCCTACCTCACTCCCAGATCCCAGTCCCTATGTCAGGGAGCATGTTTGAGAGAAAAGTGGTCAAGCCAGGGAATTCCTACCCCCCAGCAACCTCTGGCTGCTTGATCCAGCCTTCATCAGCCAGGTGTAGGTTAGACTGAAGGTGCTTTAACTTACGCTGAGGACTGCTTTTGTCCCCGGCCATCCTAGGTTTAGATGGGGAGGTGTACATGTTGCTTAAAGCCACCCTTGCCCCACCTCCCTCGCTTAGCTGCACAGAAGGCAGCTCAGACAGCCCCACAGCACAGCCTTCTTGATAACTCTTCTCCTTATGCATGACTAGTAATCTCCCTTTAAAATTACTGCTAGCTCCCTCTGGCTCACCCACTGTGGTGTTTAGATGTTGCTTGTAATTATTAGAATGGGGAGCACTGGCTGTTGGGAGTCTGAAAGGACAGGGAACAGGAAGGAGGGGGAGGAGTTGAAGAGGCTGAGGGAGAGCTACTGAGGGTGCAGCAGCTGCTGGGAAAAGAGGTTTCCACTTTAAAAAATAAAGTCCTGTTGAAGTTTGTTAGTACCTTGCCTGGCTAATACAACAACCACTCCCTCCCCTGAAAAGAAATGACAAACTTTATGATCACATTTGTCAGGGATAAATCTACCTTCAAGTTCCACTGTGAAGAGGTGACAAATGTAAAATATGTAAATAGGAGATTAAAAACAAACAAACCTTGCCTGTCAGACAGACAAAGGGTATCAAATAAATAATCTCTACCAGCACAGTAAGAATAAGCAAAGCAAAAAGAGCAGGGATCACTTTGTGTGTATTTTTGCAAGATCAGATGGTTATGGTTCAGATTCTAGCTTGGATAGCTGAGGATATCAATTTTCAAATTCAAACCAACTGCAGGAGGTGCTCAAATACCCATTTTAGACACTGCCTTGTCTATTTGGGTGCCTGAAGGTAGAAGTAACTGCCTATCTTAGGTTGAAAATTGTTTTCTGTAAGGTATTATTAAAGAATGGTCACAACTTACCTGTAACAAGCCATACTGCACTGATGAAAAACAGCATTCTCCAGAACAGGTGGGAGTTGTACTTCATCTCTGCTACCATGGAGCAGGTAGTAGTTACTCTTTCCTTTCAAAGTCTAAAACAAAGGTGCAGGAAGCACAGACAAGGCTCTATTTGCACTGGGTCACTGGTTATTTAGCTTGTGCTTTATCCAAAGTTAACAGGTTCCCGTCATGGAGTATGCACATTACCCAAGCTGCTGGGAACCCACTGGAGACCCTGCCAGGAATGCATCTAGGAAAGGTGTTTATTTACATAGTATTGGATAGGGGTGCCCACAGTCCCTGCCACTGCTGCCACAACTGAGAAGTCCTCTGACTAATTCACTGGTTTGCTGTAAACGTTTTGATCACTTATTATTATTATTTTCTAATCTTCAAATGCCTATGTCACCTTTAAAAAGAAAAATCTCAAAAAAATGGCTCACTCACTACTAGTTTTCACCCACTTTAGCGAAAATGGGCCAGACTCTCAGCTGGTTTTAGGATGCTGCAGTTAGTTAAGGGGTAAGGGCAAGAGGTAGTTGAATCATTCATGGAGTTAACCCTTTTGGGCCTGATTTTCCACTGCTTTCTGCCTTTAGTAACAAGTTACAACAGTGCAAAATGAGTGGAGAACTGCCCTAAATGCTACCACTGTGTAAGCAAGTGGAAAATTCTGATTTGTTAGCATTTTGCACCTGTTTTGTACCTATGTAAATGGCTACACAAGTTCAAATACGGTGGAGAATCAGACCCGTTCTCTGGGAATCATTCACATATTAATACTGATTTCTGCTATTTACTGGTAAGTTTTTGCCAAGTTCAGACAGTTTACAGACTAAAGTTTGTTAACAGATTGCTTGCTTTGACTATTTGTTATTCATTATTCATGTTGTCTGATTGGTCAGCTAAAGTCACATAAGATTGATTCTGCTCCCTCATTGGAGGACTTTATAAAAAGGTGAATAATTGATGGTGAATAGCATGTAATAAATTGCAAACAGCAAATACCCCTTCTTTCCCTGTGAAAAGAGCTATCCATGCCAAAAAAACAAAAAAACAAAAACCCACACACACTCCAACTTCAACCATTCCCAAAACTTCCATGCAAAGAAAAACCTGTTCACATTAATGAATGTGAGTAGCAAATTAAAGGGAACATCAGCAAGGACCCAGAGAGCTGCTAGGAATTTGAAGGGCTGTTGGAGAATACTGTTTTTGCAGGACTCCACCTGCTCTATTTGAATCACTCTGGTAATATACAAAAAGCCCTCACTACCACCACACATGAGGTTGTCCCTTCTGTAGATAAAGATAGGATGGCTTCAGCCTCCTGGGTTGCCAAACCAGCCCCTTTCACTAGTGCTAAATTCACTCTGATAAATCTTCTAGCATAGCTTTATCTAGATGTCTCTCATCACTTGCTCACGTGACCTCCTAAGGCCCAGATCTTGATTTCAACGGGAGTTAAGCACCTAAATACCTTTAAGGAGCTGCGCCAACTTTCACATCGCATGGGGAAACAAATACAGAAGCAATCTGTGAAAATGCTGATCGTGGTTTTGATATATTACATGACTTCTGCATATGGGTTTCCAGATCGACATAACAAACAAATGAGCTATTGTTTGCACTTTTATGGGAGCTTTGCAATTGACTTCAGTGCTCTCAGGACTGGTTGTTTAGCGTGGAAGACTCTGAATGCGAGTAGGCCCCCAGCCAAGAGGAAGGGTAAGTATTTTAGCAAGGCCTCGGGCCAGATATTTTCAGGAATTAGGCACTGACAGACAAGGCGCCAGATCCTTCATCTCGCTCCAGCTGCTTTGTACTGGTCTGACAAAGCAAGCCAGCAACAATGCTAGTTGATCCAGTCAGCTGAGGCTTCCCCTAAAGTAAGGGGAATCTCTGGATTCTCCATGACAATACTTCCCCACAGCCATGCTGTAGGGGTCTTCTCTCCAGTGTGTTCTGTCTGTGGAGTGTCTATGTCTTGGCAATCCCTAGCTGCTGGGACTCTCCTTCGGGGCCATAGACAGCTGGTGTAAGCTAAAGGAGCCCTGAGGCTGCTCTGATTTAAGCTAGAGACTGGCCTGGAGATGGGAGGGTAAAGTTGGTGGATAATCACCTTTGTTCCTGTCCCTTCCCTGTGTTGTGCCAACTTGAAGCAAGCCAAGGACCAGGACCTACAGAGTGTGATTTTCATAAATGCCTAGGGGCCAGATTTTAAAAGGTATTGAGGTGCCTAAAGACGTAGGTAGGCATTGAGAGGGATTTTCCGAAGTTAGGCACCTCACCGATTTAGGTTGTTTGGAAAAAATCCCATGAGTTGTCTGCCTGCACCTTTAGGTATTTAAATACCTTTGTAAATTTGACCCTGGGGTGAAATTTCGAAAGTGCTTAAGAAAATGAGAAGGCCAATTCTCACTGACTTTCAATAGAAGCTGGGTGCCTAATACTCTTAGGTGCTTTTGAAAATCCCACATTAACTGACTTAAGGCCACATTTTTAAAAGGCACTTTTGAAAATCCTAGTGAGTATCCATCTACATCTTGGGGCTGTCCATTAATTGACACATTAGGGTGGATAAGTGGGTCCTTAATTTTGCATGTTTGTTTCAGTGTTATAAGGGGAGGGGGATCTTGAAAAATCACCCACAAATGTGTTACGGAATTTATGGAAAGCCCTTTAAATGTCCAAATACCTTTACAATTCTGACCCTTAAGACCTATTTTCAAAAATGACTTATGCATTTAGAAGTAGAGCTAAGTGAATAACTGATTTTTCAATACACTAACATTTCCAAACAGTAAAAATTTTGTTTGGGGTCAAACTGAAAATGAATTTTTTTGAAATTTTTGGTGAATCAAGAAGTACAACAAAAATTATTTTAGGGTCAAACAGAAACTTTTATTGTGACAAAATTGAAATGTTTTGATTCAATTTTGATCATTTAAAAATATTAGGGATTTTTTAAATAACATTAAAGAAAATGTTAAACCAAAAGGTCTTCTGAACCAAGAAACTGAAACATTTAATTCTGAAAATGTCAAAATGAAACATTTCACATTTCTCAGATTTTTTTTCACTGAAACACTTTGTCAAAATCAATATAAATTTGAAAAATAGTTTTGGTGTCACCAGCTCTGCATTTTTCACTGAATTTTTTTTGGCAAAAAAAACACAATGTGCCTGTTCTAATGAGAAGTCTAAGTTTCATTGAAAAATCAATGGGACTTGGGTGCCTAAGTCACAGGTTCTTTTGAAAATTTTACCCCATGTTTGTAGCAGTTGTTTTCCTACAATTAATATTAACAGGAAATAGGATAAAGTTTATGACATGGGTTTTATTGATTCAAAACTACTGTACATTGAAACATGACGAAATAGAAATTAAACTCAGAGGCCCTTTGTTGTCTATTTATTTTTCATACACAGAACTAATAGGAAATGGATAAGGAAAGATGTCGGCAGTACACAAAGATCTCAACAAATAAGACCGCTTGGAAGAGAAAGCAGAAAAATACTTTAATCACAAATATGCTTGGAGGTGGATTTTCACGTAAACATCATAGGTGTAAAAAATGTCACACAGACAGGCACCTCTCTGACCCGCTACCCAATGCGGCTTTGAAGCATTCCTACTACCCTCATTACCGCTCTGCAGTTGCCAATCACACAGGCTTTATCCCAAACTCATCATTACTGGTTTTGCAAGGTATATAGGCTCCACGGGCCAGATTCTCAGCTGGTGTAGATCAATGTACTTTCATATTAGACTGATCCAGAATCTTTCTGGACAACCAGGATGTAGGCAGTAAATAGCTAATTGAAATCAGTAGTGCTTTGGTGATTTACACAAACTGAGGATCTGACCCTACATATTTTTAAACTTTAAGAACTTCTCCTTCTATATTTAGAAATTAATCCCTTGGTAATGATGCTCTACCCAGAAACCAGAGGTGGTATTTTATGCCAACAAAGGATATGCATTTCTAGTCATGCGAAATTGGGGCTCTCGGATGAGAAGAACCTTAGCTGGTCTGTTTTATTCCATGATATAACGTTCATTAGTATATGCAGAGTTTTAATTCTTTCCAGCAAATGAAGCCAGGAGAACTACTGACAGCCACTTGGTCACTGCAAGTAGCGCTGTCAGACTTTGGAAAGGGTTGGGGGAGTTGGGTCAAAGTGCTTGTGGGAATTGTAGGCAGGCTTAGCAACTGGCAGTTAGGCATATGGAAGGGTATGGCAGCTGAGAAAGCCAGCTCGGGTTGGGACCTTGTGACAGGGATACATTATGAACAGTAATGCTTATCTGCAGTACCGGTTACAAGTAAACTCAACTGCAATGTTAATACTAGTATTTCTACAGCACCTTTTTACCCACAGATCTCAAACCTCTTCCCAGTCACAAATTCACACAGTCACCTTATAACATTCCTGTGAGGTAGGAACATATTATTCCATTGCACAGACAGGGAAACTGACACAACTTTGACTTGTCAAGGATCACACAAGCAGGGCCAGGAATAGAACCCAGGATTCCTGATGCATACATTCCCCACTCTACCTACTAAACCAGTCGAGAGGAAAGTTTCCAAGATGGACAAAGGGAGGGCAGATGAAAGATTCACCCTTCTCATGGTTAGTCGTTATTCCCATTCCACATTTAAATAACAGTATAAAGAAGCATGGGCATACAAAGTAGCCACTATTATGAAGTTTAAGTTCCACATACAGACAGGAAACCCAAAACTCAATCACAGTCTCCAGTTGTGCTGGAAACAATTTTCTCCTGTCTGTACTAGCAGTTTAAACTGGTTTTCTCACTATTTCTGGTGGGACGCCCTGCTGACAAGTGACCTTAGCAACAGGTCAGTTTCCCACAGACAGACTGGACTTCAGTGTGTTCTTGAATCACACATTTAAAAGCAGTAGTGATAGGATATGCAAAAGAACAAAAGCAAATTAGTAAATGCAATTTAAAATATAAAGACTCATTTGCTAACATGCTTATAAATTTTTTCACGCAAACCCTGCTAGGTAAAATATATAATTGGCTCAGTGTTTTTATGTACCCAACATAAAATCCTTAGCCATTTTTATTTCTTCATGTAATGGGCTTCCCTTGCCCAGAACTGTTGCTACCATTTCCTATGAAGCAGCTTGAGTTGATCCTGATGGGATCATGGCACTTTTATAAGAGTATCAGCAATTTTTTTATGTATATTGAGTTCTTTCTAGGATTGGGTTGGGTGTTCTTTGTTGATGGTGGCTTACTCCCTCTCCCAATAATGATATAAATCATTAAGGTCCTAAGCCAATGCTCAATGAAGGCAATGGAAAGATCACGACTGCAGGCGAGGCTGCCTGTGGACTCCTGGTGGAGTTCCTGGCTGAAGAACAGGTGTAGAACTGCAATTTATTTTTGCATACTAATCCTGGGGCAAATAGAACAGGTCACGTGCTTGTTATTAGTAACCTCTATCTATTAGTAACTGTCTATCCTTGGGTGCAATGTAGGCCAATAAAGGTTCATTAGGTAGTCTTTGAAAAACTATAGCACTTTTTTTTTGTAATGACTTAGCAGCAAAGCATGGCTTTTATTATCCAACTAAAGTTACTTTGCAACAATTGGCCAGTATGGAAATCAATGAGAGCAGGAACAGATCTGGTAATGCAGTGGATCGCCTTGTATTGCACTGCTAGGATAATCTGACCTTACAATGGAAAAATCACCCAGGGAAGATCAATCAGGGTAAAGATGATCCCCCTACAGCAGAACCTATGTAGGGGCTCTTATACCACTGACCCTCGGTGCTCCTAGCATAGCAGGGAAGAGAGGTAGTGGCTGGAGGAAAAGGGACATGGCCAGGGTGCTCCCGTGCTACTGTAACGCCGACAGACCCTCGTCGTCGGCAGGTGGGATCAAACCTTGGGCCTTTGGAGCTTAGTGCACGAGCCTCTACCGCATGAGCTAAAAGCCATATGGCTTTTAGCTAAGGCTGTAGAGTAGACTCATTAATCCCTCTCTCTCTAAGTGGTCCCAGTGCCACTAGATGGGACAGAACACCACACCCAGAAGGTGTGTGGGTTACACTATCACCAATCCATAGCCCATTTTTGGACCTTCAGGGCCAGTTGCAGATAGCATAAGTTAAAGCAGGCTTTCGGCTGTTCCAACACAGCACAGGGAGTGGACTTTACAGAGTTGCAACATACCTAGCCCTGACCCCTGACACTCAGTCTGAGTCCTTTTTATCCTGGGCATCATAACTAGCCATAGGGCAGCTGAAGCTCAAAAAATGCCATCAAATTCACCTGTGTGAGCTCATGGTCTTCAAATGATGCCTTCAGGTACACCTGCATAGCCCCATTAGTCCTGAAAGGGTTTTCACAGGTGGCAGTGAGAGTGTAATATGAAGGCAATGGAGTAGCATAGGTGTATTCCAAGGTGTCATGGCCTCTATTACTAGTAATGGGATGGAAAGAAACCAGCTCGCCTTTCTGAGCCTGGGCAGAATTTTTTGGGCTAGCAGTTACAAATAACAATTTAATTTACAAACTCTGCAAATCTGATCTGGAAATCAGTGAATCAGACTGACTACAGAACCCCACTGTGTCTTTTTTGGCCAAATGACTCTTTTACGTGCAGCTGCACTTTGATGTTTTCCTACCAAAGGGCAAGCATTTGTGTGGCTAGAGGACACGGATTAATGTTCTGATTTCTTTTTTCTGGAGACATGGGTTCCAAGCCACACGCACAGAAACAAATAGTCTTGAGGTTGTTTTTTTCATTCTAGCTGGTACACATTGCACAGTCTAGCACAGATGCTGAAGAGGGGAGGCTTGTTCCTTGAATAGGAAGGAGGCATGTTGAATTTGAGATGCACTGAAAGGGGAGAAGTTTGCACAATACCTGGCTAAATCATGCCTACTGTTAGCCAGTGCTATTAGTTCTTTATTTTAATGATCACCAAACTTAAACACACAGCAATGAGTCAGGTATTAGATTATTCCAACTGCTTCCATTTTCAGAACAAGTCAGGAGACAGTGTGCAAAGAAACTGCATTCCCCTGAAGCAAAATTTCTCCAGTGCAGAAATCCCGTACAAGGGCCACCTAACCCCTTAACCCTTATGTGAATTTTGAGTGGCATTTTGGGTCAACCCCTGCAGCAGCATTAATTTCACTCTTGGTGCCTACTACATCAACATGAAATGTTGACAGTGGACCAGAGCCTGGTTTCATTGAAGTCAGTGAGAAAACCCACCCATGACTCCAATATAACCAAGACTGGCCCAAGTCCTTTGCAGAAATGGACTAATCCCATTTCCTTTCACTCACGCTTTAAGACAACACAGTGTGTGCGTCCACAAATGACACACTCTCCCTCAACCAGCTATTGCCTGGATCACAGAGATCCCACGTCTACATTTTGTAAGCAGAGCTGCTAAAATAAAAAAGCAGTTGGTGACTTTTAACTTTGGCAGTAACATGTACACAACTCAAGCTATTCTGGAACATTGCCTAGAGCCAAGTGTTTTCTACAGATGTTAGACTTATAAACCTAGGGTGGGTAGTACTACCATCTAGAGGATGACTCAATCATAGTCTTTCAGTTAAAGATGTTGTCAAATTTGGTAGATCCAAATTTTAACATATAAGGACCTTTTATTTTTATTTCCAATGTGTTCTGGTTGTTTTATGTGCATATTTTGTCCCCATATAGCATTCAATGTCAAAAGTCAAAGCCTTGAGCCTACCACTAGTGAGCAATGCTCCAACAGCAAACCAGTGTATGCATAAAAGTAACGGACAGCACATTTCAATAAAGAAACAGATTTCAGTGTCATTCTCCCAAAGGGCTGTTGTTATAAACACCAGTGGGAGAAAAATAACTCCATAAATTGTGGGTGATACCTTGACACCATGCCTTTAAAAATCTATTAAAATAGGGTACTAACAGCACGCTGCTCTACAGTGTTTAAAAGCACTGTCGCTACTAGGCAGTGTTCATATTAGCACAATCCACGAGAAGTCAATGGAGCTCTAATGTGCCATACATTGGGATGAGCCACTGACTCCAAAATTTGATGTGCTAAGATGTAAACACATAGAAAAGAAGCCCCTATAAGTACATAGTAGCTAAAAGCTTTTTGCTGCAAGGTCAGTATAGAAGAAAAAGTTTGAGTCACCAATGAAGGAGGTCTAAGCACCAACAACATCCTTTAAAGGAGCAGCTATGTCGCAGTTACATGATAACGAATCCCTTCCAAGCAAAATGTCCCATAGTTGTATGCAATACCAGCTCCTATAAGAAAACTGTCCCCCCCCCCCCCCCCATATTTCCTAGTGTCCAGTCAGGGTGAGGAGACCTACTGCTCCTTAGCTAGACTCATGAGGAATACCTTTTCTTTTGAATGTAAAATCACACTGTAACAGAGTTGAGGCCCAAACGCTGGTTTGTATGTCCTAGTCAGATTTTGCCTCTGTCAGTGGAACCAACATAGCAGCAGTAAAATAAACTGTATTGTGTCTTCTTGTGACAATAAAAACAGACTCTGCCTTTGGTGTCTTTGACAATGAAATAGGATAAGGCATTGAGAGTAAGTATTAATTCCCATGAGAATATCCTGTCCATTTAAAATCTGAAATTCCTTGAGCTGATTTCTGCCAACATCTTATTGACTAGTAGAATCCTCTTCACTTCTGCTTTGGGGATGGACCCATTATTATTGAAACACAAGTTTCTTAGGCACCTCCCATGAAAATTCATTTCTTCCAAAGTGACCGTAACAGGCAGTCTTCTGATAAATTGGCTTCTTTAAATCCAAATCCCTTAGTGTTCAAGAAAAAGAAAAGAAAATAGTGTTACACTTTAGACTAAACTATAAATCATTGAAGTTCTGCTGACTGAGGCTAGTTCCTCCTTTCAGTCCAGCAAGTGGGCTGAATTTTGGAAGTGCAAATGTACCAATGAACTTGTTTTATGGAATAATGACCATGAACGTGGCTATAAGGGTTAGTCTGTAGCCTTTTTGGGCCAGACTCAAAACCCATTGAAGTTTATGGAAATTTTGACCCAATTTTCAATGACATATTTGTGAAAAATAGTCTCCATTTCTCAAACAGCTCTAGTAAAAATGAGATAACATTACTAGGAGCCAAAACTATTTCCATGACACATACTACAGAACACACACATGTAGCTGTAGTAACCCCTATGCATGGCCAAATTCTGAGAGGGGCTGAGTAGCTGCTGAGAACACAAAACTCCAGCTGAAACCACTGGGAGTTACATCTGGCTTCTTATAAGATCTGGAATATTGTTAGGTCCAGAAATAGTTACAGTTTGTGTACACAGGTGAAACATCTTTTTTGTACTATAGGGACCAATACTATGCTAGAACAAGAGGTTGGGCAGGCTGATTTAATAGCTCTTTTCCTTCTGTAACCTCAATATTTCTTTGAGATGAGTTCCAGGAGGTGTTCACTCTGATTGTTCCATATACGTGTGCTCCTGCAACATGCTTACTTGACAATGACTCCGGGTCGAAGGTCAAAGTTCTTGTGCACAATATCCAGTAGCTCTTTCTCTGTTCTCTGAGAGGTTCCATAAGTGAACAGTGAAATAGAGAGGGGTTGAGCAACTCCAATGGCATAAGAAACCTTTGGCAGACAAAAGCAATAGTTAGAAAACAAGGATGGAGCCTCATATGGCCAGCAGGACATGTGACAGAACAATGTAGTATCAGAACACCCTCCTCCAGCACAGCAAGAAGAACCCCTAATGGGGATAGTCGATACAAGAAGACTGATGGACCCAGTAAATATCCAGAATAACCTCCTGTAAAATGTAAAATGTAAACTATCCAAAAAGTCCCAGGCCTGAGGAAGCTACTATGCTGAAAGCCCCAGTGACTATGATCTTGAACTAAGCAGAACAAGATCTTTCTCCTGATCTTCCTTTTAAACTCAGTCCAGCTCCAAGCTAAGCTTCCAGAATTCCATAAACTTCTGATTTCTCCCCACCTGCCCCATCGCAGACTAACCAAGGCCAGGATAGCTTGAGAAGTGCTGGCCACCTCATCAGCTCTGTCCCTCACAATCCCATATTTCTCAGGAGGATTTTTCAGGGAAAAGGTAAAAATGAAAAGTGTATTTTAAAAAAAAAAAAAAAGGCAAAAATCAACAAGATTCAAAATGGAACATACTTGAACCAGAACACGATGACACAGCCCAGCTTTCACCAAAGACTTGGCCACCCAGCGGGCTGCATATGCTGCCGACCGGTCCACCTTTGTATAATCTTTGCCTGAAAAGGCACCACCTCCGTGGGCTCCCCATCCTCCATAAGTGTCCACAATGATCTTTCGACCAGTAACGCCAGCATCACCCTGTGATATTCAAACAAGCGTTACCTCTCATGCTTTTATTAGCTAATAGCTTTTTTGTGAAAAAATAATTCCACTATTTCACTATCATGTTATTATACTGGCTCCAAGGAATGAACGCTTAAAATGTCTAATGAATACAGTAATTTCCTCACAGACAAAGAGACTTCTAGAAAGCAAGATAGTGAGCTGTGCATTCTTGAGGTGCAACTGTAACAATGAATCTACCGGTATCACATTGAATTACCATGACAGTGGGTGGCTATGTATGTTCTTTTAGGGCCAGATTCCAAGCCCACTAGAATTAATGGAAAACTCCCACTGATTTCACTGAGCTTTGGATCAAGACATTAAGGAGGAGCATTTAGCGGTCAGGCAAAGAGGTTGCAAGATGGCTATTTCTGCCAGCACTATTTCCTAATGCCTTTTTCAAAGGCAAATATTATAAGCTTTCTTAGCTGCCACCAGATCCCAAATATCTGCTTAAAAAATGACTTTTATACTGGAATTATACTGAAAAAAAAATGCATCTACTTGCAAGATAAAAAGTTCCATTGACGTCAATAGGAGTTTCTCCATTGACTTAATGGAAGCAGGATCAGGCTCTGTTACTTTGGATAAGATCTAAAGCTGGGTGAATAATTCAATAAATACTGTATTTGATTTCCTCACACATGTTCACAATTTAAAATGAACCAACTCACTTTCAGGTGGTTTTATTTTTACTCTAGGGATATGTTGGTATTGTTATTAATAATGATTTGTATCATGGCTGCACCCACAGATCTTAGTCAGGACTGAGATCACATTATCCTGGGTGCTGTGCAGATATCCAGAAAACACAGTCCTTGCCCCAAGGAGTTCACAGTCTAATTTAAGACGAGATGCAACAAATGAGAGTAACAGAGATAACTGGTGAAGGAGGAAGAGGCTAACAGTGACAGGAATATGAGGTTATCTAAACTAGTTATACACATGACTTGAGGGTTCTTAGTCATTTTAAATGTATGATTATTATGTATATTAATGAGAAAATAAAACAGACATTAGTAATCCCCACTGGCCATCTACACAGCTACCTTGATCACCACTGCTAACAGTGAGCAGTTGATATTCCTATTCGAACTGTGTTGGTCATTTACAACTCATCAAGTCCCATGGTATTCTTACTGCTCCCAGATTTGCTGAGTGCTTAAGTATTTCCTGAGTGAGGAAATTTAAAATGTAGCATGGGCAAATTTAAAGTGTAGTTTGTATTTTTGTGTGTGAACCTTGAAATTCTCTTTATAGAGAATTCAAGCCAGTAAAACTCAATCACTGGAATATTTGCAGATAGGAAATATAAAAGGAGAGCCGAAGCTTTACTTAGAAAGATTGAGCAAATATTCACAGAAACTCTTTGGGTGTTTGCCCAGTTCTACTAAGAAATTTCTGAATGACAGAAAATGGAATTACAGCTATCTGAGCTTGAATATAAGCTCTCTCCCCCTGAGAATCTTCTGTTAGATCCTGTAGTACATTCAGAATTTAGGCTTGGGGTAGCACATTCAGTTGCAGTGGGAATGATTGGGATGTCATGAACTTAGCATTATTATGACTTAACTGAAGGATCAAATAAGAGACTATGAGATGTGTAAGTGAGAGACAATGTATTCAAGCACAGATCTCTTTTAAGGTGATAAAAAGAGCTCACATATATTTGTAAACGTTACACAGTGTGGAGTCATGCTTTAAAAGGGGGTTGTGATGTAATCAAGGGTGCTGCTGCTGTTGGGAAAATGGTGTTTAGAAGTTTCATTATAACTTGGCATTCATCAAAGCTCTTAAATTGCCAAGGCCAACATACAAGTCATCATTAGCCTTGAAGATGTGAGGCAGAGTCCAAATGAGGTAAGCAACACAGACACTCCAGAGTCAGCGTTTACAGCTTTAGATTCCCTATAAGCCTGCTGTCCATAGCTAACCATTTCTAGTTTTGTTGCCATTTCCCTTTTTGGGGTGTTCTGTCTATGAAAGGGTAGACAGAACGGAGTAAGACATGGAAGTAGTAGATTTATAGCTGCGTTGGTCCCAGGAGACCATGAAGAAGAAGAGAGAAGAGCTCTGTGTAGCTCAAAAGCTTGTCTCTGTCCCCAACAGAAGAGGGTCCAATAAAATATATTATCTCACGCACCTTGTCTCTCTAACAGAAGAAAGTAGGCATTTATGTTGGTTGCCACAATGAGCTGCATATCGTTATTTATAGGGCCAATATTTGTCAATGCTGATGGTGCTTGTTAGACCGTTAATACTGCACAGCTTGTTTTATTAGTCATATTATGAACTGACCACTTCTAGTCTACATTTCTCATATGGGTTATAGTACAATGATGAACTAACTTTGGCAACATGCTTTATACCCCAGTGTACTGGTGCTTAGATATTATGCTAACAGCCACCCTAGAAATACCTGAGATAGGTTTGAATAAAGTGAATGAATTTCAACAATGAAGGATAAGTAGGTCTGTTTGGGATAGACAGAAAATTGGCCCTACAGTCAGGAATGTCCCTGCTAAGAGGATGTGGTGCTGGCCTAGTTATGCAAGGAAGCATTATAGGGGGAAGCGGAACAAACAATGGCCTAGGAAGATGTTTTTCACAAAATCTGGACTAAAGGCCTGGTCCTGCAATAGTGAAGTCAATGGGAATTTTGCCATTGACTTCGATGAATGCCACATCAAGCTCTAAATCCTGGCTCCTAAGCCTTAACACGGCAAATCTCTCCCTCCCGTTCTCCTCTTGGACAAACCTGGCTAGGGTCTGATTTTCAGAGGTGCTAAGCACCCGCAGCTCTCATTGATTTTAACTAGAGTTGTGTGTGCCGAGCACCTCTGAAAAGCAACAGTTGCTAAATGTTTGGCTATGTTTGGCTATCCCTTTTACTTCACTGAGTGTTTTGCCTGAGAAAGGACTGAGGGCCTGATCTTGTGAGGATGCCCAGCACCTTGCCGGGCTGGACACTGAATACACAAAGCAGGTCTTGGCCCAACTTGCTTATATATATATGACATAACCATGCCCTCAGAGGTTTCTTTGGAATCCAGTGCATTAAGGCCTTGGTCTCGCTCCCATGTAAATTAGTGGTGAAACTCCCATTGGCTCCAATGGTGCAGGACTGGTCTCTTAACATGTGTTTAGTCTGTGCCCTTCTGTTAGAAATACAGGCTGAGGACACAAATTAATCTGTAGAACAATATGATGGGAAAAGGAAAATTGGCAGAAAGATCAAAAGAATACTAAACACACACCTGTGGCCCCCCAATGACAAAACGCCCACTGGGCTGAAGGTGGTAAATTGTTTTCTCGTCCAGGTATTTGGCAGGAACGACAGGTTTAATCACACAGTCTCTCAGGGTTTTGCGCATGTATTCCAGCGAGATGGTTTCATCATGCTGCACAGATATCACAATGGTGTGAACACGGACCGGGATGACGGCTCCATTTTTCTGAGTATACTGAACAGTGACCTGAATATGAACAAGGGGGGTAAAAGAAACAGCTGTATGATACATTACCATATTGTATATATACCACACCAGGCAGTACAACAGCCGACGTACAGGAAGGTGCCTGTGGCAACAAAGTATAAAGAGACAACTGTTTAGTGGGTATGAGGAATGAAGTGTATGGTTTTCATGTTTGCTAAATATATTGGTGAGCAAAGATGACCCAAATTCAGAAGGCTCATATACAAAGCAAATATTTTACCTCTATGCACCATAGCTCAGGGGTTTTAGCATTGGCCTGCTAAACCCAGGGTTGTGAGTTCAATCCTTAAGGGGGCCATTTAGGGAACTGGGGTAAAAATTGGGGCTTGGTCCTGCTTTGAGCAGGGGGTTGGACTAGATGACCTCCTGAGGTCCCTTCCAACCCTGATATTCTATGATTCAAACTCTCCAGTGACACTCTTAGCAATACATACTTAGACTGGGATTTTCAAAGGAGCCTAAAACAATTAAATCCCTCAAATCCCTAAACTCTCAAATCCCACTGAAATTTAAATCCTTCAGTGAAAACCACACTTAATTTGTAGGCACTGATGAACCAGATTTGCCCTTCAGATTTCCTGACATGTTTTCAGACAGCAGGGAACACCCCGCTCCTGGTACTCAAGGGTTAAATGTTTCTTCAGTGCTATGCAGTGTCATGTGTCAGACATCCAGGTGCATGCTAACAGTTTTTGCAACCCTCAGGAGATTGTATCCTGAGCAGAGGAACTGCTTTATATACAATCAGTAGGAAGCTGAAAACAGACTGTATGTTATAATGTGGACATTCTGGATTATCCACTTAAAACGACATTCTGAACTGAACAAATAGCAGCAATTAAATATTGGAAAAAGAAATCCAAGATTTTTTGGGTAAAACAGTGGCTTTACTGAACCAGACAGATAGTTATTAATACCCTGCAAGTGATCAGGACTTCAAAGGATTCTTTCCATGACTCCTGTATTGAGCAGAGGGACATGCTGAGTGAAAGCAATATTTACCTGTGTCTTAGAGTCAGGTCTAAGCCAAGGGAGATCACCACTGTGTCTCAGCTCTGCTAACTTGGTGTTCAATTTGTGAGCGAGAACAATAGTGAGAGGCATACATTCTTCTGTCTCATCTGTTGCATAGCCAAACATCAACCCCTGTAATGGGAGAGGAGGGATAGATTTTAAATCACTGGGGCAAGCAGGGCTTTCAATCCTGTTAAATTATTAATATGAGCATTACAGAAGTGCCTAGAGACCACAGAATCTCATCTGAGGCAAACAGGGCCTTACAATTACTTTTTATTGTTTTTATTACTGGTGTTACAGTAGCATCGGATGGTCTACACTGCCAAGTTTTTTTGCCAAAAGGTAGCTTTTGGCGATGAAACAGCAGAGGTGTACACACTGCAAAGCCACTTTTTGCAACGAAACTCCTCAGTTGCAGTGCTGTAATAAAACCACCTTGACGAGAGTGATAAGGCTTTTTGCACAAATGTTTTATCACCAAAGAGCCAGTGTAAACACCTTGCTTGCTTTTATCACTATAATTGGCCTCCAGAGATGTCCCACAATGCCCGCAGTGACTGCTCTGCTTACGCATGCATGTGCCCCTCTCCTTTCAAAGCTCCATTCTGACAGCCTGCGTGCTGTGCTGCTCTGGGAAACAGAGCAAATCTTTGGCTGGAATGCTCCTGCTTTCTCCCACACTAAGAACACAGAGGCAGGCAGGCAGAGAGGTGTGTGTGTGTGTGTGTGTGTGTGTGAGAGAGAGAGAGAGAGAGAGAGATTCTGTGCAGTGCAGAGCCAGGGAGGGAGGTGGGGGCTGATGTCAGGGTTTCCCCCTCCCCCTGCCTCAGGACAGGTTGCTTTCAGCTGCCTGGATGAATTTAGGAGACAGCCTGCTGACACACTCACTCTGCCCCCAACACACACTGTCTGTCTCTTCCCCTCCCCCCATACACACATGCTCCCTGTCACACACTCTCCCCCCCGCCCCTCTCCGCCCACTTCAGCTGGAAAGCAGCTAGCAATCTAGTAGAATGCCCATAGAATGATGGGATTGAGAAACCTGCATCATGTGACCCTGTACCTGCCCCATGAGGCATTGCAAACCCTTCCCAAACCACCCTGTGGCCAGTTGCATAGTGGGATAGTTACCCACAGTGTAATGCTCTCTTTGCCTTTGCAAGAGCTGCTAGTGTGGATGCGTTCCAGCAACACAAGGAGTAGTATGGACAGGCAACACTGGTTTAATTAAAGCCCTTTAATAAAAGTGGTATAACTTTTGGCAAAAAAAAACTTGGCAGTGTAGACACAGCCTTAGAGGCCTCAATTGAGATCAGGCCCCCTACTGTGCGAGGTACTCCCTAAACACATAATCAGAGACAGTCCCTGCCCAGTAGTTTTTAGTTTTTGTTAAAACATTTTCAATTTTTGGCTGAAAAGTTTGTGACAGGACCTCAAACTTTTCTGTGGTAATCAGACATTTTTCGTGGAAATTTGTGTTTTATTAAATAACAGTTTGGATGGACAATTTTCAACCCACCCTATTGGCAAGGACTATACCCAGATAATACAAGTGATTTGTCTAAATGCAAAAATGGAAATAAAATATCTGGGCATATTTTGGACCCAAGCCTTGCTTCTTTCTTAGGCAGAACTCCACAATGAGTAAGGTGGCCTGGACAGCGTTAGAAATACGGCTTGGGGCTAGGGCTGATGCTTCTCCAGTTTTTCCCAAGATCACCCCTTTTTTGAGGTAGCTGTCCTCAGAAATCTATAGCCATGCTCGGTATACACTGCCAGCTGCCGGATTCATGGGCTCAGGATCATCCCAGATGTCCCCGTTTTTTGTATCTCAGAGGTGACAACCCTATCTGAGACTTTCATTAATGAATGTTGTCACAGTATGCCTGAACCGGCCAATGCTGGGAGTTAGCAGGGGTATTTCCTTGGTGTTACTGCTTCCTGTCAGGCAGTCCAGTGGAATGGCAGCTCATAAATGGAATTATTTAAACACTGAAGAGAGGAAGCATGGCCAAGTGCTTAGGACTTGGGAGACCTGAGTTCAGTTCCCTGCTGTGACCTGGTAATAGTCATTTTGTCTCTCAGTGCCTCAGTTCTGCACGTGTTACATGGGGCCAATAGCACTACCCTACCTCACAAGAGTGCTGCAAGGATAAATACATTAAAATTTGTGAAGTGTTCAGCTCCTGCAGTAATCAGAGCCATGTAACTACTTAAGACAGATGCATTTCTATTTGGTCCCTCTGCTGATAGAAATGCATGTTAATTTAGTTCTCATGAGGATTTGGGGGTAATATGACTTTGGTTCCAAGACTCTATCATGGTTCTATTACAATTCTCAACAACATTACCATAAACTAGATATTACCGCTAATGAGAACTACTGTAAATGTTAAACACACATTCATATTGGCTTCAATTGGAGTTGCAGGATTTTCATGCTCTTGGGGAGAACTGTAATCATCTCCATTTGCTATTCAGCTCACAGAAATATGAGTTGGACAGTCTTAATTATGTGGAATGCCAATTATACTCAAACTGATCCCTGCCTCTGGGAAATAAATGAGAGTTACAAATGTTCGGGCAGAATTGCCTTCATTTTACAAACACTGCTCTCCTGCTTACGCTTGAAACATTGACAGAGAACACCTTTTTACAACATCAAAGCTCCAGAGTTATGTAAACATGGCACGATCTTATATGATTTTATTTGTTTATTATTTATTTAGTTAATCTTACTGGGCAAGTCCTGCTGCAAAGGCAATATCTGATTAATCTAACCCTACTAAAACAGAACTATGAAGCCTACTTGAAAAAGCTAACTTTGCTAAGCTTTAGGGCCCAGATCCTTAGCTGGTGTAAATTGTCACAGCGCCATTGACTTCCATGGAGCTATGACAATTTAGCTTAGCGGAGGATCTGCTGCATGGTCTATTGTGTGGACCAAAACTGTCTTTGGTGTAACTCCACTGAAGTTAAAGAAGTTACACCAGAGATTAATTTGGCCCTGTGTGTCCCATGGGAGCTCCATCAAAGTATTCACACACATGTGCATTTTATTCTATGTTAGAACAGGATGAGACTGGGCAAATTCTCATGAACTGTGACCAAGCTGGTTTTAATTTAGAAAATAGGACAATGGGGTGGATAAACCCTCACTTTCTAACCCTGACCTTTTCAGAAGAAATGTTTTCATTTTAAGGAGATACAGTGATCCTGTCTCTCCTAGCATTGGGAGTAAACAGAGCTGGGAGTGTACTAGCGGGCTGCCCTAATGAGCTAATAGGATGATTGTAGAGTGTGTTTTACTTTACTATTGTTTTTGTAAACAGGGATGACTTTTGATTACCTGGTCACCAGCACCAACATCCTCTTCATTCCTGTACATATGAACACCTTGGGCAATATCAGGCGACTGTTGTTCCAGTGCCACCAGAACATTGCAAGTCTTGTAGTCGAAGCCTGTTTAGAAGAAGACACAGGAGTAAATTAACTTCCCTGCACAGTGAAGCATAACTACATGGAACCATATGCCAGAAATTCCAATCCTGGACAACAGTGCCTTCAAAACGCAGAATCTGTCTGCTATTTGCTTTTACATTTTTGTCAATGCAACAATTCTAATGTGTTCTTCTCCGTTCAACCTCACAGCACGGTCTCATCTCTCTTAGCTGCTTGGCACAGGCATTTCGTCTAAAGCAATGCTCAGGAAAGTCCCAAACAGCATGAAAAGTAAGAAATCACAAGAGAGAAAATGTATGATCACAGCTGCTATGGTCCTTCCCCAGCAGGGCTTACACATGCTATTTCATCATTGGAAGGGTCTAAACACCAAGGAGGGAGAGTCTAAGGAAATATCACTAGGGATAATGAATCAGATTAAGTTAAGTAAAGGACCACCTGAATATCAAGAATATTTCTTATCAGGGCCATCTGTCAGACTGGAATATTCTCCCAAGGGAAATGGCAGAAGCCCCATCACATGAGCTCTTTAAAGCTGAACTACACAAAATCCTCAGTAGAACATCTTAGGGTACAATCCTGTGTTGGCAGAAACATAAAGATGATAATACGATAGATATAGATCATCTTTAATTTCTCTGATTCTGGAACATCAACCCAAGGCTCAGTGACAGAACCATTAGTATTGCTAACATTTTCTCTCTGATCATGATATCTAATGTCCCTGGGAAATAACCCAGCAGCAGAGCACCTCCTGAAGAATAGCATGATCTGTGTACAGTTGGAGTTAATATTTTGGGAAACTCTATGACATTACTGAACAACATGAAAGGCCCACTGTATTTTCTGACAAATAGATATTTTCAGCAAATTCTCCTTTTGGTAGATCTCGCTCTTATATTCTGTTTTCCATGTATGCAAGAATCTCCCGTGAGGGTCAACGGGAGATCCACACATGTAAGAAAAGCAGATTTGAGACTTGCCATCCAGATCTGAAAGCAGAGCTTTGCCTTCAAAGGACAAGTGAAAAGGTTTATACAAAATTGTCAAGGACTTGCAGAATATTATGGCAGAAATTCTCATTTTCTTCCCCAGTTATGTAGAGGATAATCAGCTTTACCCTATGCTCACGTCTCCCAAAATTCTAGCTACTGACAGCTGCTTACCAAATCTAGAATCAAACACCTATACATCAAATATACACATACACACAAGCGTCCACTTGAAGAACACTCCATGCCCTCTTTCCTTTAAGTAGGCTGTGATGGGAAAGAATTCCATAAGGGAAAAAGTTGTATGCAATTCTGCCCCTTTTAGCTTTTTCTCCTATAGTTTCTGTAGGGCAGGGTTTTCGACTGGGTTCACTAAGGGACCCACACTGCTTTGGTGGTAAGGGTAAAAGAGGAGATTTCTACACTACTGGATCTGGCAGTATTTTCTGAGAGCAATGTTATTATGTTACATAATATTCTGCCTTTGCAGCCAACTAGCAAATGTGCTTTTACAGCATTCTCCCACCATTCTCTCTTCAGAAGTCTTGTACCAACAAGATTATATCAACCAGGAAATACCGCTAACAAAGTTTTTTTAAAGAAAAAAACATACTTAATCTTCATGATAACTGTAAAACATTTGCAATATGTAAATAATACAATACGTTTATAGATATTGCAAACTGGATGTTGAAATGTATCTCGGATATAAAACACTGTTTTTTGCATCAGTACTACACTCCACAGTGCTATGAAATTTACTTTGATTGTAAGCTCCTCAGGGTAGGGACTGTCTTTTTGTTCTGTGTTTGTACAGCTACTAGCAGAATGGGGGCCTGGGCTATGATTGCAGTCCCTATGTTATACTGTAATAGATAATCATAATTAATTATTAATAATAATACAGATTCACTAAGCCTTCTCTTTCCACTCCATCTGACTAATTTACATTAGTCTGATTGGTCATTTGAATAACATGCAAGTTGCAAGGAGTTAAACTGAGAGTAAATTCTATAGCACAAGTTAGCAGCTACTCTGCCAACATGCTCCAGTTCAAAAAATATCCTAGCTGCCTTTTCCTGATGAGCACTTTAACCATACAGTGAAAAGTTTCTCCTTGGTATGTGATGGAGTCTGAATGTTTTTCTTATGACAGTGTTTGAGCAGCTCCTAGCCAAGACATATGATTTGATTAGGCCTGCAGAAGCACAAGTATGCAAGTGGAGAGAGACCTGTTCTGGAGCTACTCACTGACCAGCACACCATGTTGGCAATAAACAGGATTCCTGGAATTTTTCCACCAACCTTTAGCTGAATCATCGTAGCCGATTTGCTTAATTGTGTCTCGAACTACTCGCTGATAGTCGACAATGGCGAGGGATGTGATCTCCCCACAGAGCAGCACCATCCCTGTTTTACACACTGTCTCTACAGAGAGCGGGAAGACAGAAAGAAGGAAAAGGGATAAGGGAGGGCTGGATAACTCAACATGCTATTGCAACTAACTCCATTTCTGTCAATGGTGAATTCTGAACAGCCCCTAACGAATACAAATAAAATAGGTAGTTATCGCTCCCATCTGCATAGTATTAGATCCTCACACATATGGATCCATTTATCCTCATTACACCCCTTGAGGGAGGGAAGGACTAGTATGCTGGAGAAACTGAGGCACAAAGTGATTTGATGACTTGCTCAAAGTCACACAGGAAGTTTGGAGCAATGTAGGAACTGAACTGAGATTCCAGAGCATCATTCCAGTGCCTTAACCAGAAAAGCATCCTTCTATCCTGCTTACAGAGTAAGTTTGGGCCCAACAATCCACACTAATGACCCACTGGTTTGCAACCTTGCCTCCATTTTAAGGAGGGAGGCCCAGATCCTGAAAGATCCTGTCTCCTATTCATTTGAATGGGAGTTAAGCACCACAGTTGAGGAACTGGACCAGAGAGACAAAAGCTGGTGGTTGTTTTTTCATGAATGCACAAGGCCAAATTCACACGAGCCCCAATTAAACTCTGTTTTAAGATCTTCAGTTGGACTTACATGGAACACAGGCCAAGTGCCAAATCTCACCCTCAGGTATGAAGGTTGAGGGGAAAATGGGTCATTTCCATCATGAAAATGATGCCATTGGCCATTTACAAATCTGAGAATTTGGAGACATTTTGCTGACTTTCTCAATGTGGGTCAAATTTCAGCAGTTTCAACATGTTAATAACAACAACTGGCAGACATAACCAAAACAGGGTTAAAACATTTTTCTTTATGATGAGCTGTCAGGAAAACACCTAGAGTTAGCAATGAAAAATTTAAAGTATCTATAAAGCCAAATAAGTGCACTTTGCTACAAATGGTCACGGTTCTTTGGACGATCAACTGTAGTGGAATTAAATCTCTTTTCCTCTGGAATACTAATTACATTTACAAAGTTAACTCTACCACTGGTTTGGTTATTTTAGGCTCTTGCTACAGTCCTCAAACACAATGTACTTTCAAAATTTCTTTGAGAAACAATGTAGTGACGCTGTATAATTGTTTGTTCAGATCTTTTTTGTTTTGCTGTACATATATTTTTGAACACAATAATTAGAATAAAAAATGAACAGGCACATGTTCCCATCAACCTCCTACATTTATATATTACAAAGAGGGAACTACAAGCAGGTGATAGTAAAGCAGTCACTTTTCCATCTAGTCTAAGTGAAAGAAGAAAATGTGTGTGTCCTTACCACAAGCAACCTTGGCATCTGGATCTTGTTGAAGATGGGCATCTAGCACAGCGTCGCTGATCTGATCACAGATCTTATCTGAAAGAGAACAGAGCCAATGTGTCTAAAAACAGTGTTCTCTACAGAAAATATGGACTGTTGACATCACAATGAACTAGAAAATAGTTTGTGGGAGCTGTTTTTTGCTTATCATCTATCTGTCTAGCTAGCTAGCTATCATACTTATATGGCCCCCATTACTGTAGTAACTAAGCTTATATAGATTTTAAAAACCATATGACACATTGTCCAGGCAAAGAAGATACACAGTGATGGTGCCTCAACCTGTTTGACATCAGATGCAGTATGGCATTTATTTGGTGATGTAAATTAGCACTGAATACAACTTTACCTGCCCATTTTGCCTGTTCACTTAAGGGTGACAGGGACAGTCTTTCCAACAAGACAATATTCAGCTATTAAGATGACCCCTTCCAGTCCAACAGAGAGTATAATACATTTCTAGGTAATACAGCAGTTAAAGCCTAAGAAAGAGACATTGAAAAAAAAAACTTTAAAGAAATTATAAACATACGTAGATATTCTCTTGATTGTTTTCGAGGACAAACATTTGATGACTCCTATTGTCCTCCACAGCCTTCTCCCCATAATCCCCACACTCTACTAAGTGTGGAAGGGAGGTGGGGTAGAATGCAGGGGAGAGCAGGAGGGGATTACAAATTGAAGTTCACTGAAGGCACAAAATGCCCAGGGCCAGTCCTAGATACTCCTAAGGTTATGCACCAAGCAAAGATCCCAGCTCCTTCTTTTGCTAAACAGAGATATTTTCATTTGGTTTTGGTTTCTCGTCTTTCCAAATAAATAAAGCGTATTAATAAAAGATGTATAACGGTCCCTTCTGACCTTATTAATCTGTGTTGAGATTTTAATTTATATATAATTATAATTATATATATATATATATATATAATTTATATTAAAATCATTTCATCTCATCTGCCATAGTTATATGACCTGAAGATTATTGATTAATCGGGATTCAGGTTTACTGGTTATCACATGAGAGAGTGCTATCTACCTGGTTGATCAGCTGATCCATACACTACATTTCAGGAAATTCAGCTGCCTATTAGTTTTGGTCTCTAATTTAAACATTCCTGGTTTTAGCAGTGATTCTGTTTAGCAAGATTTGCATATACTGGATTCTGCTATTTAAGTTTCTGATCTCAGCTGTCCAAGTCTTTTTATTAGCTCCTAAATATGACAGGATATGTCAATCATTATTATCTTATTACTGCTTTACCCATCTCTGGGAATGCATTATCCTCCACAAAGTTAATAAAAATATCACAAACTTTTCTAATAGATAAATAGTGAGTCACCAGGACCATGCACAGTGTACTGTCCATTTCCCTAATTTGAGAATAAGGACAACAGGACAGTGATTTGAAGGTAGAACAGCACTGTCAGTGATTCCCTTCACTAGTCTCATGGGTTTACTAGACCAAATAAATAAATAAAACCACACCCTATCAGAGTGAGAAGAACATCTCAGGTTATCCAAAGAGAATTATGTTTGGGAATTCTCACTCAGAAACCCAATCATCTTGTAGATGGAGTTCCTATAGCAGATGTGCTGATTGTGTAGAGAAACAGCTTTCACTGGCTACAGAAGGAAAGGCAGTGTCTAAGAGAGTTGATGACAGAATTGTCTTAAAATGCCCCACTATTAACTTATCTCCTTTAGTTGGTATTTTTATGAAAAAGCTGATGTCTGCAAATTAGGGATACCCCGTGTGGGTGTGCGTATGTATATATATAAAGTGAATTCTCCATATACTTGGACATTCATTTGTCATAAAGACATCAGTTTGTCCAAATAAATAACGATTGATTTTTAGAAGAGCTGAGCCCCCACAAGTGATACCATCATCAGCAAATGGAATGGGAATGGTAGGTGCTCAGGACATTGGAAAATCAGCCGACAAGAGTCTTCGGATTCACAAGTTTAACTGACTCACAGAAACACTTTTCTATGAGTGATAGAGGTAGCCAGAGGATTGATTCCAGAAAAGTGCATCGCCTCACCCTGAATGAATTTCAAATAGGCAAATATTAAAATTAGAGCAGGCCAGGAAACAATTTTACTGTTCCAGGAATTATTTTTGAGATATCAAAAAAATTTCCTGTTGTGAATCAGGACAAAAAGCCCAAATCGTAAAAAATTTCACAAAATAAAAATCCAAAACAAAAAAATAAATGGTTTCGTTCAATTGAAACATTTCATTTTGATCTTTTCAAAACCTAACATTCCAATTGTGACCTTTTTGTCTACTTTTTTTATTCTACATTTACTAAAGTTTCTAAACAAAAAGTCATTTAGCCTGGAAACAGAAATTTTTTGTTTTGAAAAAGTTGAAATGAGACATTTTGACAATTTCAAAACTTTTCCCCCTCAATAATTTTTTAAGTTGAGAGATTTGTTCAAACTGACCTTGTTTAGTGAACAGTTTGGGTTTCAACAAAAAACTTTTGTTTTTTTATGAAAAAATTAGTAACTGAAAAATTCCTTATCTCTTGTTAAAATATGTTCATAATCAAGTGAGTAGCCAAATAAATATGGTACTTTCTTACTTCCTGTTGTAGAAAAACAGGTTCTTCAAAAAATATCTTCCTTTCCTCTCCTATGTGTCTTTGTAGCTCATCTACTTCTTTAAGAACATGAGAACGGCCATACTGGGTCAGACCAACAGTCCATCTAGCCCAGAATTCTGTCTTCCAACAGTGGCCAATGCCAGGTGCTTCCAAGGGAATTAACAGAACAAGTAATCATCAAGTGATTGTTTCATTGAAACAAATTAGATTTTACTGCCATCAACAGTACTGCAGAGCCAATATAACTAGGGTAGGGCAAGGTGGACACTATTATGTTTCATGCATCATCATCAAAACTGTCAACTAATTGTGGAATGCTGAATGTTTGTTATGATGCAAAAGGCTGCAGAGAACCCAGCTTGGTTTTCCGTTCCCAAATAGAGTTTACAATGAAGGTAGCTGGAAATCTCATCTGATCTGTAAACAAATCTGATATGGAAAACGAATATTAAAACTCTCAATGTCATTTGTAAAGAATATCCTTTCTGAGTACAACTAAGTACAACTATGCTTCAAATATGATTATTTCCATACTTTACTCATATGAGTAGATCGGGTATAATGAATAACACAACTGCATATTTTATATTTATCATTAAATACGTATTTATGTACAGAGTTTATGTATATATTTATGTATATAGTTTGGAATACTGCATGTCTACTTTATCATTTATTATATATGATATCCTTACAAGGTCAGCTAATATGGCTTGTTACAATGTTCTATGATCCACTGGGTAAGGATTTCATACTACTATATCTATGGGAAGACTTCCATTTATGTACTTTAATAGACTTTGGATAAGGTCTGAAGCACACTGAGAGACAATATTCAGCTTTTCTGCATTCTACTTAAGGTGCATATATATCATTTTCACACTTCAAAGTGTGTGCCATTCCAATAAAACCATGTAGTACTTACCAGACTCCCAAGTTGAACTGATCAGAAAATGGGAGGGGTCCAGACAGGATTTTAACTTTTTGTTAAAAAAATTAGATGTTTTTGATTTTCAACAACCAAAAACTGAAGAAATGCAACAAAAACTTGAAATTTTCATCTAAAATCTGCCAAAATCTGAAAAATTTCAGTTTTCAGCCCCCAGAAATGCAGTTTTCTGACCAAAAAATCAAAAAAAAAAATGGGGAAAGCATTTTCCACAAAAATTTTCATTTTGTCAAAACCCCAACTTTCCATCCACCTCAGTGGAAAACTTTCCATCGGCCCTCTACACGTAAAGGTGGTGGTAGAAAGTGTTTCCACCCCCTTCCCATGTTTCCTCCTGTTCCATTGTTTCTATTTTACAAAATACACAGGACTGTTAAGTAAAAAGACTATGACAATGCAACATTAAGGCTGCACTGTTTAAATGAAAAAAAGTCAAAAGTGTAAAAGTGAGGATACTTACAGAAACATGAATTCAGCCACACTGAATATATGCAATACTTTGCTTTTCTGTTCTCTTTGTTAAATATATTGCTTAGTAATATTATTGTATATGTTGTTAAATGCCATCAAATATACAGGTGGTGCATGGTGAATAAATTAAGCCTGCTGTAAGACTTTCTGATACTTCATGGAAAACTCTGAGAGGGGTTCTGTTTGGAGGCAATTCTGCTTAAAGTTACATCAGCCATTCTGGGTGGAGAGGAAGGTTTAGTTTTAAGTGCCAAAGGTTTGGGACCTGGTACGCACTGAGACTCAGGGAGAACAATGCCTTCCAAAGCATAATGCACCATCATCAAAGAGATACAGCATGGCTTCCCTTTCCTGGCTAGAGGGTTTCTTGACCAGTCAGTTCTCCTGTACAATTCAAAGTAGAGCAGATCTTAAATGGCTTGGAACCAGGTGACCTGAGAAACCATCTCACTTTCCATAAGCAGTTGTGATTAGTGGAGGTGCTTGAATTGGAATTTGGAATTCACTCTCCTTTTTAGTCTACCAGAGCCCAGGTTTGTTAACCTTCTAGGAACAAAATACCACTTTTGCAACCTCCCACCTTTATTCTGAGATGTTTGTGACGAGGTTGAGCTGCTGAGGTGGGATACAGGGAGTTCTTATATAATGTTTACTTGGCAGTCTTGTGTAACAGCAGTTCATTAATTATTGTCAGATCTCAACAGTTTGTGCTGAATCTGGTCTTTTTAATACATGTGAGGCATAGAGCATGCTGCAGGAGGTCATTACATCTAAATAAATAAATAATGTATTCCCTGTATTTCCCCTCCCTCTCTTGTTAAGAGGACGTTTATATGGAAAAACCAGCCAGATCACACCAGCTGAAGATCTCGTCCAGAAGCTTTACTTCTTTGAGTGTTCTCAAGCACAATTTTGTAGAAATTATTCTAATGTCCAGCTAGGAGAGGGATAATCACCAGTCACAAATGAAACACCTTTTCAAACAAATGTCCCCACAGAGGAAGAGAAATGTGAACATTTTAGTGCTCTCTGTGTCTAAACAGAATGTTCTAAAAGTTTTCCATCAAGAGTTACCTTATCTGTAACATGAGGACTCTGTCATATTCATTATTATATTAATATAATCAAGATAATTTAAAATATCTATTAACCTTTTTAAAAAGGACTATAACTCTGTTACAATCCCACCTCTTCAACTAGAGGATCCACCAACAGCAAACCTAGGCTGCTGGAATTATTAATATTGCACATGTGACATTAGCACATGTAGACAGTGCCAGCCTTTTGCTTTTGCTGATTACTTCAATTTCTGTAAAGAGTCCAGGGTATAGAGAACATTGTGGAGATAGTACATAGTATGATTCTGTAAGTGGTAAATTCTAATAGTATACCCATTTAGACGTGTGGAAAGATGGTGTGACCTATACATACACAGCTTCAACAAAAGCCAGGTCATTGAGTGCAATGTCCAAAGAAGATTCCTCTGTCCTCCCTGATGGGGTCTTTGGTATAACTGATATAGTAACTTCCTCCAAAGAATCCATTCTAGATTTTCCATCAAAAACTGGGAGCACTTTTATGAAGCACTGAAATATCTCCCATCAGTCACATTAGAGAACACACTGGCATTTTTAAGCACCTCTTTTTCCAGAAGAAATGTTTCCTTGTGCTACAGAATCTTTATATTCCAAGAGGCACCAAGACAAACAATGGGCATTTTAGACATTCTACTGACTGGAAAGGCTAATTACAAATTAAAAAGGGATCACAGAGAAATGTTCACAATTAAACCAGAAACTATGCAAGAGTCAACTGGTGTCAGTTTTAGCTACAAACTCAAAACTCAGGATGAAATCCCAACCCCATTGAAAACTACTGTTAGCTCCTATATGGGCAGTATTTCAGCCTCTGCCTCAGACCCGGACCTAGTTTTGAGAAAACCAAAGATGATTTATGGTTTTGAGCTGCCACCTAGAGAAATTTGTGGTTTCACACAATTTTGCAGCTGAATGCCAAGTTTCACCTTATATATTTACTGATTTAGATTTCTACAATACTTTGACTTATTGGGCTTGTTCTCACTGGAAACTCAAAGCAAACCTCAGGAGTAACTCCACTTTAGACAACAGAGTTCCGTCAGTGTAAGTGACAGAAGAATCAGGGCTGCAAATCCATGCAGGTGTAAACCAAAGTAAACATTGGCATCAACCCCAGTGACTCAAATGGTAGATTTTTTACAATTTTACTATTTAGTTTTAATTTAATGTTTCAAATAAAAATTAGCTTTGGCTGGTTTGTTCAAATCTGGATCCGGATCCAAATGTCTTGAGAGACTGTGGGCATTCAGCACTGGGCATTTGGTTTGGCTCATCTTTAATTAAAATTGTGTAACTAATTCCTCTTCTTCCCTGATCACAAAATTAAATGTATTTACAGGTAACAAATGCTCATCTGTTTCAGTGCTTTATAATGTATAAGCGCTCCCCTGCCTGCCTCTGACTTCTGTTACAAAGTGTTCTCACTTGCTGTTTGCACAACTCCAGCTTGGCAGTATTTGCTATCTCCTAACAGTGCCTGGGAATTTTACCATATACATTACTTTTGTCAGTTCTATACAGACACCTAGCCAGAATGAATGCATTCAAGGAAGCTTATTTTTTAACATTAACACTCAGCAAACTTGAGATCCTGGAGCAAATTCATATTTTTGTAAAAGATTATGCCATGAGTCTATTGCTGTGGATATTACTGTAGTATAACAAATTCAGTCTTCTATGAAAATAGACTAGGGGGAAACCTGTATTTGAATACAGGTTCAGTGGGTTGAGCAATTAACAAATTTAACAAGAACACACTTGCGAAAGGTAGAATTTAAGAATTTAGTCTGATATATTTGATAGCGTTCTCCCATCAGATGCCCCTTTTCAGACCTTAGGGCAGATCCTCTGCCCTGTTAAGCCTGCTTTGCACCACTCACGCGTCTGAGTCAAGTCAGTTTGTCTGTACAGTGAAATCTGCAGAAAGCAGATTTAAGCCTATCTTAAATGGCCAGCTGACACAGGGAAATTCTAACCTACGGCTAATGTTTCAGATCCTACATCACCTCTCCCTGGGCCTTGTGTAGAAGCATAGCTAGAGAAAAGAGGGTTTTGGCTACGACGCAACAGCATCACGCTGACCTCCAGCAGCCAGATCAGCCCCAAGAGGCCATTGACAGCTGAAGTATGATAGAGCCCCAGAATCAGGGAGCTGCAAAGGGTGTCTTGGTGCCAACCTTGCCTGCCCCAATCTGGAAGCCTGTCAACTCTTCTTTGGGAGGAATGATCGTTTTTCACACTGTTATATATGAGGATGGGTCTGTTGGTTTGGAAAGAACAAACACTGGCCCATATGTTAGCTCAAACGTTGACTTGAACCAAATAAACCCAAATATTTTCATATGATGGAATTCAAAAAGCCCTGGCATGTTTCACCTTCCCTCTCTCTCTTTTTTAAATCTACAGCAAGCCTCCTTTCTTCCCTGAAATGCAATTTGAGACCTTCAGAGATCTGGCAATCACTGCTGGGGGAGATGCTATCCACAAATCTTATAAATTCCTAAATTTTCCTAAGGCCTGAGGAAGTTCCAGTTACCCAGGAAGCAATGAAATGTGGGAGCTTTAAATAGCACAGCCGAAGAGTTCAGCAGGGAGAGAGACAAGCCTGAATACTCAATGAAAAATCACCAGTGGTGCAGTTAGTCCTCCTGTTGGTGATCAGAATGGGAACTGGGGGATTAAGGTGATGCTGGGAACTGCAAAGAGGGAGGAGGACATCAGTGAAGCCCTTGCAAGCTGAGAAAGGGACTTCTGGAGATGAGGAAAGGAATCTGAGGGTCAGTTAAACTGAAAGATGGATCAGGGCAAAGAATGGGAGACAGAATAAAAGGTGAAAGGGAAAGAAGCTAAGTGAAGCACTTTTGAGTATTTATCTGACCAAATGCTTGGAGGCTCATCATCACTGACTGAGGAATTAAAAAATAATTAAGAGACATTTTGGACCTATCATCCTTTAAAGTGTTGCTTTAAATTAAAAAGCGTTCTTTAGAATGACATAAGACTCTTGGTGCTGTTAGTCACCTGTCCTCTATAGTTGCTGAGCAAACACTACGGTGGAACCTACCCTTCAGTTGGGTGTCTTGTTACATCAGCCACTGACAATTGGGAAAGATTACCAGGCACTGTAAACTGGCATAGCTCCATTGAAGTCAACAGAGATACACCTGTTTGCATCAGCCAAGGATTTGTAGGAGCCAATTAATACTATGGAGATGAGCAAAAATTGAAGAAGCATAAAAGCAGAGATGGTTTTGGTTTTGCCATTTTCTTCTTATCAGATAGGTCATCCCCACCCCACCCCTGCTCAATTTCATTATTCACCCTTATATCACCCAAATGAGTGCATAGACCTGGAAGGCATTGTCATGACAAAAGTAACAGGATGAAAAATGGTTTTCTAAAATATACTTTAAAGGACATCAAATAGGTCATTGTCCTCTAGCCTCATTTGTAGGAATTCTTTCTGTTGGCACAAACTACATGTTTATGGCAGATGATCATTTGTTTTCAAAATAAATTAAATTAAACTTTGCTGACAATACATAAAGTTTAGAAAATAACTGTCCACTGCCTGCTTAAGCAATTCCATATGTTTTAACAAAAACCAGATCATGGCGGGGAGGGGAGTCAGGGGGCTGCCATGCATAGCTGATGGGGCCTTTCATTTTTAACTGTTTTTAAATAGCCTGCTTAGAGATATTCCTGTCATTGTGACTAGCAGTTTTATGGCAGAACATGTATGCAGGAGAGTTTCACAAAACTTCGATGTTGTGGAACTCAACATGTGTGAAACCTGAGGCTATCAGAGATGCAGTATTATCTCAAGTGTAATCTGCCGAAAGAAAGATGCAAAACAAACAAGCAGAAAAGGAAGAGCAAATTGCCACATGGAAGGAACACACAGCCAGTTCACAGACATGAATTAGAGTGGCAACTCACCATATCCTACAGCAGCATCATAACCGCCAGCATTTTGAAGTCTAAATGGAGAAACATCCAGTGGAAAAATACTCCACCATCACCACCGCCCCATATGATAATACTTACATTGACTGGATTCTTCACCAGACTTTCTTAAACAGACTTTAATTGAAAATATTCTGACTTGTCTGTACCCCCGCAGCCAGTTACTTACCTGGATGCCCTTCTCCAACAGACTCTGATGTGAACATGAAAGCACCTTCTTCATTTACAGTGTGGTCACATAAGCCATCCACCACTCTATTCATGATGTTGACACTTTTCCTGATGGGTTAATCAAAATAGTAGTTCAAGAGCTCTGTCTTTAGTGCCTTTCTCTTTCTGAGTGGAAGGACTAAACTTTATCAGCAGGGCTAACACTTCTGTCAGTTACTACTTTCCACAAAAACTTGGATTGAGCATGTGAAGTAAGTGTAGTCAGTGTGTGTGTGTGTGTGTGTGTGTGTGTGTGTGTGTGTCGAGCACTGATCAGGCATCTGTCTGAGGTCTGTACCTCTACCTACTTCAGCTGTCACTCTGTGAGTTGCTCCTATATATGGAGAAGTGAAAGTGCCTGGATAATCATGTGAGGAAACTGGGAGAGCCCATTTCCTGGGAGGGGAGCAAGTTAATATTGGGATATTTCACTTATTAACTCACTTTTCAGTAACTCAGTATTCAACCTGTGCAAGATCGGTAGCCATAAAGATTCAATTCACAGGAGTTAGTAAAGGAGTTCTAGCTTCCATTCAGTTCAGTGGTTCTTTTGGTTTAGCTCTCCCCGAGTTTGGGGCTGTTTGCTGTGAGTGTTCTCAAGCGTGTGTTGTGATCACACAGAAATAGAAGAAAGTTGTATAAGCTTGTCCCTTTCCTGTCAAAAGGGTGAGGGATGTAAAGTTTGTTAAGCACAATATGACTTTGTTTCCTGGTTTTCATTTTCATCTCTAAGTGTGATTCTTCCCTGGAAGGTCCTGTACATTTGCACTCTTTGTGTGCTGTTCTGAAAGGAAATACTGTACATGAACTAGTACCTGAGTAATAGAGATTCCGCTGATCTGATTTTATAAACAATCTCTATTCAGCCTCCTCCTTCTTCTGCTTTCTCATCTGCTAATTAGAGTCCATCTTAAAATTTTTGTAATTCCTACTAGTCACTAGCAACTAGACATGCACTGACTGTCACACCTTTAATTTAAGGGAGGTGGAAAACACCACCATTTTTCTAAAAAGGCTGATTAGGAAATCTTTATGGTTGTGCCTGAACTGCTCTGGAATGTACCCAACCTCAGCCCAAGCCTTGGGGAAGAAACAAAATATTTATATGTAGCTGGGATGCTGAGATCGAGTTACAAATGGATCAAAGGAAACTATTGCTCAGGCTGTCTACTGAAATCTTTTTTTGACATGCAATGTAGTTGTAGCCATGCTAGTCCCAGAATATTAGAGAGATGAGGTGGATATCTTGTATTGGGCCAACTTCTGTCAGTCAGAGAGACAAGCTTTCAAGCCACACAGAGCTCTTCTTCAGGTCTGGGAAAGGTACTTCAAGCATCAGGTAGCCAGTGTTTGGTGTGGGATGAGAGAGAGAGATTTTAGTTTGTGTGTGTATGTGTGTGTGTGTGCAAATGCATGTTCATTGAACAAATGTTACCAAACACAAACTAACCATACAGCAGAAACAGACTCCCCAGCACCTATTGTACCACTGCAAAAGAGAATCATAAAGATTAGTTCATTTACAAAAAATCATTATGGGTTCAGTCCAGTGCCAACTGAAGTAAATGGGAAAGTTTCCATTGACTTCAGAAAGCATTGGATTAAGCCCTATGATATATTTTTCATCCCGTTGCAATGGTGATGTACCTGATACATGGATCGGTACTGGACATATTGGTTGCTCTGTATACATTGCAAGTTAAACAGCAATGAAGCTGTTACTCTTTGTCACTCTCCAATTTGGCATCTGACTATATACTTCTCCCCCACTGATTATTATGATTATTTTACAAGCAGGAGGAGGACTTGATAGACACTTCTTCTTCAAATCTTTGCTTTAATACATACTTGCACAAGTATTCTTGAGACTTTCATTTTCTGCATCCATTCCCGAGAACAATAATTTATACCAGTAATTTCCTGCATTGTTTGCCCATGTCTAATGACTATGGCCACCCAGTGGGACAGCTCTTCACTTGGTGTCTGTTGTCATTATTCCATTGCCATGGGATCTGCCCGAGTCTGTATGCAATGTGGGTAAATGCGGCATTGATATGATTGAGGAAAAATTGATATGTTGAAAAGAAAAGTTTGTCATTTTTAGAAGACCAAAGAGTAACACCAACCTACAAGGGTAATTGTATTAACTCCAGTTAATGTATAACATTCAAAGTTCATATTAACTTTTAAAGTTACATAAAACCAAGCAACAAACATTCCTCTTTGTTAAATCCAGACAAACACCTGAGAGAAAAGCTTTCTGAGTGAAAGTTTCAGAACCTTTTCCTCTTCAACTGAGGGCAGAGAAAGTTTTCACTCTAGTTCTCTAGTCCGCCAAGGAAACCTCCAGCAAAAACAGAGCAGACAAGATTTGACATTCTAAATATTTATAAGGTAAAACACAAACAGAAAAATCAAAACCCATAGACAGACCTACCAGGCTACCTACCAAGAAACAAGAACTCCAAAACACAAGCCCCAGTCCTGCAAACACTGATGGATGTGAGTAACTAAAGGGGAACTGCCAGTGAGCTTGCAGGGACCACTGTTTGTTTTGCCTTTGCAGCTCCCCTTTAGTAATCCACATTTCTGGAGATGTGAACTAATCTTGCAGACCTTTAGAGGATCACCCATTCTATGGCCTGTGTTAAGTGAGAGGTCAGACTAAATCAGATTTTTCCCTTCTGGCCTTGGAATCTATGAATCATCAAGTATAACAGAAGTGCATATGCTGATAATATTCTAGAAATGCTGTATAGCTACTGATCCTTGTAAGACTTCCAGTTTGAACTGCTTCTAGATATAGTTTTAATACCAGCAGTAACACAACCAGAAATGTTTGTGCATAGAACTATTACATGGCCATGGATCCCCTTGACATGTTGTTTTTTAGAAACTTTGTTACCAACCATGAGCCATTATAGGTTGCAATAATATTTAATTTGGCTTCTTTTCCCAAACTCCTTAATTTGTTAAATATTTGTAAAATGGCAAGACTGTGTAACTGTCAAGGCAAAAGGAACATAATAAAGTACTGCATATGCCCAATTTCCCCCTTTCCCACTCTCGCGATAGTGGGCTCGATGCTGCAAAATCTACTCAATCTGGCTGACTCCCATGATCTGAAAGTGCAGCCATTGTCAGGAAAGTTATTTTGTAAAAACAGCACCTCCTTACCTATCAGGTCGGCTCCCTGTGTGCATTCATTCAGATCAGCTGACTTTAGTGACTAGAAAGCAATATCCAAAGCCAATGAAGCCAGTGTGAATCTTTCCTTTGATTTCAATGGTCTTTGGATCAGGCCCTATAATGAGCTTTTACTATTTTTTACTCTTGGTAGCCCTGCAGAGCCAACCCAACAATGGGAGAATGTATTGTACTAGCTTCTGTCTCATACATCATTGACAGAATCATTCGTTAAAGTCAAAATGTAGGGCCAAATTCTGCTTCCAGTGAGCCCTGTGTGATCTCTTTGAAGACAATGTGGTGGCACAGATGTTAATGAGGACAGAATGTAATGCACAAAATTTCAATCGCTGGTGACAATGCACTACCCAGAAAGATTTTAGGTCCCAGGTTGGTCCAGCAGGCTAGGCAGCAAGAAAAAAAAATTGACAAAATAAAGAGTCTAAAATATATAGATAGCAATCAGGAAATCATCCAAAAGCCAAGGAAACTTTATAGCAAAAATATAGGTATTATTTCTCTACAAAATATTCCTCAGAGGCCAAGGAACTGTCATGATTTTCTTAGTTGCTTAATGCTCATGCAAATACTTCCAGCACTGGCTGGAGTGCCAAGCATGCATTGTGAACAGCCCACGCACAGCTTTTCCTGTCAGTGCACCTCGGTGTTGACATGATGCAATAATCTCTTCTCTTGCAGGTCAGGGTAGGATTTAAGAAAAGTGTCCTTCAGGGTGCACATATGTTGAAACTCAGGCAGCCTTTCCACACATTGTACTTTATTTCAGAAATCTAACAAGCCCCTATGTTGCTGATTCTTGGTCATTTTTGTCAGAGCCCCCAGAGAATTGTTATTTCTGCTTTTTAATCCCTGGGAGCTGCACAAATACTTGTGGTGTGGAGGGCTGTGTAAGAAAATAGTTTAGATATGAGATAGAATTGATGCTTTGGCCTGGCCCCAGACAACTTGTGCCTTAATGTCATCAATCCCTTTTATTTGCCCATTTCCCCCTTCCTTTTCTCTATGCTGTCCTTATATGCTCTTTTTGCCCCATCTTATCCTATTTTTCTCCTGTGTATTTTTCCTTCTGTTGTCCTCTTACCTTTTTTATTCTTGTTTGTCATACCCATCACTCTCCCCTTTCTCCCATACAACTCTCCATAAAGCCACAGACCACTCATGGAGAATCTATTGGTGGTGCTCATGGAGGAAATGGAGTCTGTGGGAACAGAGAAAAGAAGCTTGAGTTAACACATTGAAGCCAGGACAGCTTACCGGGAGCTGATCCAGTGGAGAGCTACACTCAGAGTTTTCACAACAGAGAGGGAGGAAGAGATAGGTATCTAAGAATTGGTCACCATCACTTTACCCGAAGAAGCAGAACCATGTTTGCATGGGAAATAGATTTCGAGTCATTCAGCTTTCCTCACTATCATTGGTCTTCTATTCTTGGTAGCTCATAAGCTATTCTGGTGACTCCTAGAGAAAGAGGGAATGAAACCAGGGCACAGTCAGGTTGGGAAATACTGCACTTTTATGAGCAGATTTTGAGAAGACGTTCACTTAAATCATCTGTAATTTGATTTAGTGCAGCCCCTTGTCTCTGGAGATACAACATTTTAGGCCCTGATTCAGGAAAGCATCCCTATTAAGGACAACACATAAGCCAATTGTTTAACTTTATACATGTGTTTAGCTCCACTGAAGTCGTGGGATTTAAGTACATGCATAATTTAAAGCATGGGTGTAAGTGCTGTCATGTATAGGAATAGACTTAAGCACATGGTTGAGTGTTTTCCTGGATCAGAGCATTACTCAGGAAAAAAACAACCGAGCAGTGAACTCTCTCACCTTTTATGACTGAATAAGATAATGACCATCTTAATGAGTGTATTTACAAACATCTCTTCTCCTCTCCTTCAAATTCAGGTACCCTAAACAATGGTTAGTAATTTAAGTTATTTACCACTTTGCTTTCCTCTGACACTTCAACATTATAAGGAATTAGCTCCAAACCCAGTTTATGCCTGAAGGTATAAAGCAGTTTTCTACAGTGCTCAGTTAGAATGACTTCCCAGTTTCAATACTGGTTTCATGTATACACTCATTTAATGGGAGTAGTTCATATAGCACAG